ATGGATCTTCATCTTATCTTCCTCCATAAAATACTACAGACTCTGTTTTTCCTTTTTGCAGGTGAACATCACGCAGATAAAACAAAAACAACAATAACAACCACGCTACCCAAGCTCTGACACTTCTTGTGATGCATGATTTCTGCAGAAGACTTATCAAACCCAGTAATTCCTTACCCAGGAAATGGGAACCACTGGCTCTCTGTCCTCCTCCATCAGTCACAATTTTAGGAATATATGCCTTTAGCAAAGGCAAATTCGGGTGCCATCTCCACTGAGTACTCACTGTGCATATCCGTGAAGGGTGACAGTACCTAACCTGGCAGAGTTCAAGCGTAGCAGAGACCCCTGAAACACGCTCTGGAGAAACCCACTGTTCTATGCCAAGCAAAGAAGGAGAAAGTGGGAATCTTCTTCCACTTCACCCCACAGAAAATCTCTCCAGCTCCATCCTCTGCAGACTGACTTCCAGCCCTACATTCTCACCAGTTTTTCAAGTAAGTGTCTGGAAGCACACTGCTACCTGTTTTTTGCTTACTGTGTAGTAGCAACTTCAGAGTTCTGAAGCAGAGTCCTTGTCCCTCCCCAGGTACTTCTTCATTTGTTTTTCTACTGAGCATCAGCCACTAATGAGAGAAGAAATCAAAAGAAATTTAGATCGTGAAGAATAGCCCCAGATCAGTTCTCTTCCTTCAACAGAAAAAGGAGAGAAGAACAAAGACACAAATCCAGGTCTGTTTGATGAGAGAGCTGTGGATCTACCACGGCCCAAGGGAAAACCAGCTACTGAGCAGCACTGATTAACAGCATCCTGAATGAAGAATCTATGTGAAAAATCAACTGTGCTCAAATATGGATTTAGGAATATTTTCTGAAAAGAGTTCACAAGCTGAGCCACATAGATTATTTTGTCTTCACATCTTTTAAGAGGAATGAACTAAGAACACAAATGCACAAGCTCCACTATATAATGGTATGCTTACACAATGATCTGTTTAATTCCAAGAATTCTTCTAGCAGTGGTTCCTGAGTATGCCTGAAACTGGGTGAAAGACTCACTGAATAGTGACTTAAAATATGAAAAGCCAAGGACTACAACAGAATGTTTTGGTACATATATCAACCCTAAAATACATGCCTTCAGCATAGTTAGTAAAACAGACTACACAACTTATGTAGTCAACACAAAACCAATCTGAGGATAAGCTACAGTGATTATTTTAATTCTGGTGGAGGGGGGGGGATGTTCTTTGCCTTCTTTTCATCTTTTTTCTCTCATTCCTCATTGCCTAAATGGCAAATTTCATTTTGTAGTTAGGTAACACCAAAATTTGAATCTCTGTTTTTCTGAGTATACATAATCCTGATCTTCAGACAGGATTTAATATTATGTCAAACTTACAAAATGTAAGTAACTAAAATTCTTGAGATATAGCTAGCAAGGAGGAAAGAAAAGCAGTTCCCCCATCACATGGTGAAAAGCAGTGTCTGACTGGCACTTTGGTCCCAGTCAGGTCAGGAATTTTCACTGAAGCCAAGATTTCATCTTCTACATATTTGCAGAACCCTCTTTATTGCCAGAGTGAGGCAGGTAAATCCTGCAGCACGAGACAGGTAAATATCTTAAGGTAAGAGAGGCAATCCTGCTTGATCTGCAGCTACTTCATTATACGTTGTCATAGTTGTTTTCCAAATATTTTGTTATCAGATCTGCCAAAGGAGAGGAAACAAGCAACATCAAGCTGGCTTTTCTGGAATCCATACTTAGCCAGTAGGGCTGCAGAGAATGCAGGGGTGAACCTTTTTGGGAATCTGCATGTACACATTGTGGCATATAAACTGCTGTTTCCTTTACGACAATGAAAATGAGACACAGGGAGACATCAGTCCTGAGGCTGTGGTGACTAGTAGGTCGGACGTTGTGAAGGATGGTGAATTTAATGTTTACTGCAGGAAGGTGGATTTAATGGAAGTTTGTGCCTGACAGGTGGTTCCTGAATGGGAGATCCTGCAGCTCATAAACAGAGCACGGGAAAAGTCAGCTCCTGCAGAAATCCTGTGAAAAGTCACCATGGAGGCCTGGAAAACAGTCTGAAATGAGAGAAATGGTGTCTTTCCATGAAAAGGATCAAGAAAAATATGAAAACTTTTTTCTAGACTTTGGCATTTTTGGAAATAATCTCTTCCAAATCATAATTTGCTCACAGAATAGATTGCTTTAGGGCTGGGGTCAAAATATAAAAGCAGAAGAGTGCCAAAACTCCAGCTGTTCGCTCCCAAATTCATTTTAAGGATTTAACCATTTGGAAGTTTCTTCCTCATGTTGTATTTGGAGATTTGCATTTAATCACTTTGAGAATCACGATGTGATCTTATCTTTCTGCCATAACATATTGCACTTTCTAAAAAAAGTACTGTTTAGGAAAACAAATTGTGGAAATGCAGGTGCATAGTACATACATAACAGAAGTTATCAGATCAGAGCTGTGAACACAGTTTATTTAATCGGATAGCCCTTCCTTCACCACTGTGCTTCTCCAAAGCAAGTGATCCTTCTCTCTACTGCCTGATAGAAAAGAAAGAAAATATGAGAAGCAACAAAAGTTCTTCTTATCTGTTCAGTGTGAAAAAAAAAAAGAAGCATCCAACTTTTCAATAACAGCATGCAATAATGGATTGTAAACAATTAGTATCATGGACTTTGAAAGCTACTAGTACAAATTTGAGGAATTTAAAATAGCTTTCTTAGTATAAGTGGAAAATGTAACTCCTTCAGTTGTTTTTAGGCAATACAAATACATTTTGCTTATGTGCCATTTACAGTGATTTTATATAGCAGGCAAATTCAAGAGCTGAAAAAATTCCACACGGAAAAGAAAGAGCTGAGAGATTCCTTTTTGTCAGGTAAAGTTGTCAGAAACATGGCTGTTCTATTGCAAAATAATGTGAATTTGCTGACTTTGTGAACACCAGTGTCTGGGAAAGAATATAAGCCAACTGGGAATAGGCACACAATATCAGAAGAGGAATCAGCGATTTTTTTGGGCACTTTACTTAAAGCCAATGGAGATTGTGCTGTGGTTTAGCCAGGCTGCTCATCTGTGTACTGGTCCCATGCTGTGCCTGAACCTGCTGTGGGACACCTGGAGATGCAGCAGAAACGTTTCTCCTGTCCCATTCACATCTGTTTGAAAAAGCCAGACTGCCTTGCTCTGCATCGCTGCCATCAGGGCACTTCCGTGCAGGGTCATATCCCCTCAGGCAGAGAGAAAGACTGCATTCATTCTCCTCGCACCACCAATGAGGCTTCCAGAAGCTGCTGAATTCCAGAATTTCTTTTACTTCGTTTTCTCCCCAAAATGAACAAAACAGAATTTGGTGTCAAATCTTAATTTCACATCAAACTGCGTATTTGCGTAAGTAGAGCAGAACTAGCTTTATACAGTATGAACAAGTAACTTTAAAATTTGAATCCAAGCTAAAGGTCTGATTCTCTTCTGGGATGGTGGAAAGATGACAAGTAGCTAGCTTTGTGAAGCAGGACGGGGAAGGGAGGGCAGTCAGCTGTGCTCAGCCCTGAGCCCCAGCCTACAAGAGGAGGCTGCTTTGCTGTGACAGCCTCCTGTCCAGAAAGGGAGGCCTTTGTACCACACGCACCAAGGACCCAAGCTTGCCTCACAGCCAAGCACTTCGGGAGCACTGAACCTTCAACCCTTGATGGAGGCCACTGCCATGCAATGCTGCTACAGGCTGGAGCCCAAGCTCAGTCCTACCCTCAGACGCAGACAGGTGCACCAACACCCCCAGCCAGGCCTGCTCTAGTGCAGCCCTGCAACTGGTGTTACCAGCCAACACGAGTTGGCTTTGGCAGAAAGTTGATTTAAAGTATTTCTAGGCTCTACGGCTCGCTCCTACTCCCATGGCATTGCTGGCTGCCCCCTCAGCTGCATTCATACAACTTGTTGCATTCATCTCTTTCATAGAAGTTCGCTGCAAGTCAGGTCACTGAAATACACGTATTACAATAATCTTTTGTTGACGGAAGGAAATACATTTTGCAGGAAAAAATCTTGAAAGTACACATAATAAAGACAACTTTGAACAGCATCCACACCAAATTCTTGCCCAATTTTCCATGCAGAGACTTCTTATGTTTTGAGATTATGCAAGTTACTTGCCCAGATAAAATCTCGCTGGCTTTATTTCAAAACATTCCTGTCATATATGTCACATGTGGTGGAAGCCCCATCCCTAGAAACACTCAAGGTCAGGCTGGGGGGGGGGGGGAGCTCTGAGCACCTGATCAAGCTGCAGGTGCCCCTCTTTGTTTCAGGGGATGTGGGCTAGATGACGTTTTAGAGTCCCTTGCAACTCAAACCATTCTATGATTCCATTCTATGAACATAACAGCCGGAAAAACTTGGAGTTTTTTTTGGAAACTCCATGTAAAAGTTATAAATTTTTTAAATATGAATTGTAGAAATAGAAGTGAGTGGAGTTGCTATTGCTAAACTTAGATGTTACTCAAACACCTCAGTAACCCCTAGGAAAAGATTTCTCCTTCTGCTTTAGTGAAATGCACATCTTGCCCTGCAGTTAGCCAAGTGACAGTCAAAAACCAAATCACAAACACTGTACTGACACAGAATCCCAACAACACAAATACAGTGAAAATTCAGAACAGTCTGATTTCAGCACAGGAATTCTGCAAGTTCTGCCCGGCAACGTAGGGGCTGAGAGCAAGCTGAAAGTTTTTAGAGAGCAGAAGACGGAAAGACAGAAAGGCAGAAAGAAGGGGAGGGGAGGGACAGTAGCACTGCCTAAAGAGAAGCTCTCTGAAACTCGCAGCTGATGGCCGGAAAGTGAGACTGCAGCCCCCTGCTCCCCAAGGAGCACACTCACATCGCCGCCCGGCGGAGCCCCGTCCCGTCCCGCCTGGTCCCAGCGCCTCTGGGGCCGAAACCCACGGCGCAACCCGCGCGTCCCCCCGTGCCGCTCACCCTGCGGTTGCGGTCGGTCTCCCGCACCTCCTCCTCCTCGGGGCCCTGCCGGATGAGCGCCCGCAGCACCACGGCGTTGTTGGTGCAGCACGCTCGGAAGAGGCTCAGCCCCTCGGGGCTGTCGCGGTCCTCCTGCTCCAGGGACCAGCTGTCCTCCGTCTCGTCCCCCAGCCCCCCCGGCGGGTAGAAGGAGTCGTCCGAGGCGATGCTGCAGGTGTCGGGCAGCTCGGAGAAGTCTTCATACTCCTCGTAGTCTTCCTCCTCCTCCTCCTGCTCCTCATCGCCGTGCCCCTCGGCGGCAGCCCCGTCCGCCCCCTGTTCGGAGCCGCTCTCCGCCTCGGGCAGTTCCTTGCCGGCTCCCGGCGCGGGGCAGACCCGCTCCCCGGCCAGCTGCTCCCCGGCCCCCGACAGCAGCACCATGCCGCCTGCCTCCGCCGCTCTCTAGGCGTCCCGACGGCCGAGCGAGGACGTCCCGCCGCCTGCCCCCCGGCCGTCCCCTGGCCGGGACATGCCGCTGCCGGCACCCCGCTCGCTGGCCCGGCGAGGAGAGGCCGGTCTGGGGTGCGGGCAGGGCGGCGGGCAAACTCCTGGCCCGTAAGCCGATCAGCATGCCCGGGAGCAGATTGGGGCTCGGGCTTAGCGCGCTGACATCAGGGCGCATCTGACAATGCGATTTGCTCGGGCGGCGCGGCACACAGCCGGGCTGCGGGCGGCGGTGCGGAGAGGGGCTGCCGGCACGGAGCGGGGACACTCCGCATCTGGGAGGTGCAGCGGGCACGGGGCCCGCGAGTGGAGCAACTGCGGCTTGATAGAGACCTGCCAAGCACGTATCTCTCATGGAAGGCATCTAGACATTAGGCTAGGAGGAGTGACGCGTGCACACTGAGTTTCTGCGTTGCCATAGTTGTTCTGCAACTCTTTTTCAAATGCTATGGATTAGCACAGAGATCCAGGGAGGGAAGACCTACCAGTCAGCCCAGTGGGATACTCCATTTCTGCACTTAGCACTTGTAAGGCCACAACTAGAGCACTGTGCACAGTACTCTATTTGGGCCCATGACAACAAAGACACTGAGGTTCTGGAGTGTGTCTAGAGAAGGGCAGTAAAACTGGTGAGAGGGGTCTGGGGCACGAGGAGTGGCTGAGAGGGCTGGGATTGTTTAGTCTGGAGGAGGGTCAGGGGAGACCTCATCACTCTCTACAACTTCCTGAAGGAAGGTTGTGGCCAAGTGGGGGTCAGCCTTTTCTTAAGGTAACAAGTGATAGGATGAGAGGGAATGGCTTTAAGTTGCATCAGTTCCGGTTAGATATGAGGAAAAATTTCTTCTCCAAAAGAGTGGTGAGATGTTGGAACAGGCTGCCCAGGGAGGTGGTGGAGTCACTGTTCCTGGAGGTTTGCAGGATGTAGATGTCACACTGAGGGACGTGAGTTAGTGGGCATGGTGGTGGTGAGCAGACAATTGGTCAGCATGGTCTTAGTGGTCTTTTCCAACCTTCTGTGATTCCATGACTCAATGTTTCAACAGCATCTTGAAGTGAACCTGATGTACGTGAGGAGCTTCAGCAGTTGTCTAGGGTCCACGTCTGCAGAGAAGGAAATGAGCATTCTGCAGTGAGTCGAGGCAGTGTGTGAGGCATTTTTTTAATTAGAAGAAAGTGTCAATTTAGAGTCACGCAGAAGTATGAGTAACAGGGTCTGTGTAGTGGATGCTCACAGCCTTGCAAGCGTACACCATACAAACCAGACCTCAGCACTGCCACCAATGCAGAGCTGCAGGGGGGGAGTGCGGTGTCTAGCAGACAGATATCTGTAACCAGAATTAGCAACAGATTGCGCCCTGATTGGCTGCCTCTGCAAAGAGGCTAACCCGGGAAGGAATGGGATTAAACTGCTCCCTCACCTCCAGGCATCCTGAGGATCATTGCTTCGTATTCAAAGCAATGCTTGGATTGATGCTGTCCATCTCCAGTCAAGTCTTCATGTAAAGAAAGGCTCCCTGCCGCTGTCGCTCCTATCTGTCTGCTTCCAAATCACACGCTTCGGACTTGGTGTAAATTACAGCACTGTTAAATTTCAGGGCTCCATTCAGAGAACTTTCTGTTTCCCACTCAGCTGGTGTGGCCGTCTGTCCAGCCGACACAATGCTATCTCCTAGCACTTGTATTTTGGAAGAACTTCAGTTTTCCTGATACTGACAGGGAGCATTTGCACTGCTGTCAGGCAGAACTTACCATACGAGCTCGATGCCCAGAAGGGCTCTTGCGTGTGGTAACTCTGAGCAGGAGTAAAAGTAAAAGAGTGCATTCTAACAAAATAGGATCAAGTGTTTTCTTGTTGAAAATTCAGCTCACCTATAGGAACCAACTCATCAAATATATTTGCTTTGTGTCTTATAAAGTGATTGCATGAGAAAAAAGGTTTATTTCATTTACTACATTGTTTTTAAAAATTTACATTAAATATGTTAACAAAGATGCAGGCTGTGGTAGCTTTGAATAGTGATAAACAAATTTCAGAGCACCCTAATTCTAATCAGAGAGATATAGAATTTATTTTAATTTAGGGAAAAAAAGTTCGGTTAGGGAAATTAGTGAATTTTTTCCTATGTTCAGTACATAGGTTACCAGCTTATTGCTGGAGGAGAGACAGATCAGCCCACTCCCATTGGTGGTGGTGATTCTTCAGGACTTCACAGACGGTAGAAACTTTTCTCTCATTGGAGCTCAACGCTTCCATCTTTTCTTCTCCAGGAACAGTGCTGCATTCCTCGATCGTTCAAAGCAAGGTGTCAGACTAGTACAGAGCATGCACTGTGTTTTCCATTTCATTTTTCACTTTCACAACTGCTGCTGAGGCTGTTGGTTAGTCTCTGTGCAATGTGACAATGAGCAGCAAGACACCACCGAAGGGTGCAGCCTATTGCACACAGACCCTTCCTTGGCCACCCGAGACGATGCTGCAGATCTTGGTCCTGCCGGCATGATGCTGATCTGCTGTAGTACAGCCATATAGGTAAACCAGATTATGCTCAGTTCTAAAAGCCTTCACTGGCATGGCAAACAGGGTTTCTTGTCATTTGTGCTTCAGTGTGCAATTCGAGAGAGAGCAATGTGAAGAAAGACTATAGAATAAGTCTGCAAAATGCTTTCAATTGAACAGAAAGAAACTGTTTCCATGGCTTCTGTAAGAGGACAGCCTGAAACCTTTCTTGTAGAATAGATACCAGTTAATGTCACTGGAGTTAGGTGTTAGTATTTAGAAATTGTGCAATAAAAACAAAGAAATCAAGATTGCCATCTGAAGGCAAATAGCCTAGTATTATAATTATTTATCACCATCTCATCGAAATTTATTGCTGGAAATTAACAAGGCAGGAAATTATGATATCCAGAGCAGATCCTACCTGTCCTCATGCAGACAAAACTTCCTTTGAAAAAAAAAATTTTTTTGGAATGACGATAGCATTGGGTCCCCATCATTTGCCTCATTAAGGTTTACAAGCCATTTCCTTTATAAACAGCTCTGAGGCTGAGATTTAATGAGGTTCACGTCTAATAGTAAAATTAGAAGGAAGATTCAGTGAGCATTGAGTGTCCCTCCCACATTCAATGATTTACCCTAAGGAAAAATATTCACGTACTGAAAGAGTTTGTTACAAATAAAATCTAGTCAGGACAAAAGAGTAGGTTTCTAGAAGAAAAAGTAAATAAACCCATTTAGTTGCTTGGATTGTTTAGGTATTTGGAATTCCTGATCACCAGGAATGTTGATGATGTCTCATTTTTACTTGCAGGATGCCCATGTACCTTTTTTGAAATTTGAGGGCATTTCCCTCCTCCTCAGATGAGCTGTTTGCAAAAATCCTCCAAACAAGAGAAGTCGAGGCTGGTGAGATACAGTTGGAGAAAATATTTCAAGGTATAGATGAAGAATTAATTTGAAGAGATCACTGAGGAATTATTTCCTGCTGATAAAAAGAGCCAAAGAGAGAACATTTGTTTCTGTACTTATCTGACTGGAGGAAGAGGGTGGGGAAGAGCATTTGCAAACATGAACCTGGCAGCATTTGCTAAGCCACCCAGTCCACTTAGAAAGTCCACCCCGTTTAGGCGTAGTTTTGGAGCCTCAGTTTTCCTAAGCTCTAGCTAATATTTGATGTGAAATCCTGCTTGATCTGAGAAGTAATGTCTGCTACAGCTGGAAATTACATGATGTTTCCTAGAAACCAAAGACTTGGGCTCAGTGGTGACAGCAGTGGCAGAGAATAAGGAATATTAGCAATCATCTTGCTAAATGTGTTTTCTCAGTTGCTGTTAGTTTGGGGAGTCCCACGTGAAAAGGACATAAAACTCTTAAAGAGTGTCCAATGGAAGCTATGAAGGCTGTGGAGGGCAAGACTCATGAGGAGCGGCTGAGGCCCCTGAGTTTGCTCATTGCAGGGCAGAGGAGCTGAGGGGAGGCCCGATGGCGGCTGCAGCTCCTCACAGGGAGCGCAGGGGCAGCGCTGAGCTCTGCTCTGTGTGACAGCAACGGGGCCCGAGGGAACGGCATGGAGCTGCGTCGGGAGAGGGGCAGCTGGGGGTGAGGGACAGGGTCTGCACCAGGGGGCGGTGGGCATGGAACGGGCTGCACAGGGCACCGCACCAGGCAGCAAGAGTTCAATGCATGTTTTGGACAGCACTTTCAGTCATATGGTCTGATTTTTGGGCGGTCCTGTGTGGATCCAGGAGTAGTACTCAGTCCCTTCCAACTGGGAACTGCCCCACTGCAGGAAGCCACATATTTAAGTCTTTTTGGACAATTTTCTCAGAACCGGGAAAAACTGCTGTTGCAGCATGCTCCTGGTAAGGCACTGAGTGTGTTATGTGCTGTTTTGATGCTTTGGGAGGTGGTAAATAGAAGGCTGACAGTGAAGGAGCAAACGAAGTGAAAGGGGAAGCGAGATGGATGGAGTTCCCCATAGCTGCTCTTTTCAAATTTACTGTAGACTATGTAAATGATGAAGGTCCTTGAGGCTTCCAGTAATTCCCTGGTGTGGAACTTCTGTGTTTGCATTTCTCTTGATTTCTATCTGAGGGAATTCCTTGGGAGAAAACTGATGAAAACTTATTTTTAGTGTTCATATGTTGTTTCATTAAAATACTGCGGAAAACAGAAGTTTGCATAACATCTCTGGCCAGGCCTCAGACTCGTCTGAAGAGTGGATTCAAAAAATCCCCGCTTCATTTTTGTTTATTTTTTCAGTTTGCATATTCTTTCTTAAAATACTTCACACGTGCACTTGATGATACTGAAATATTCTTTGTTTGAAATGCCAGTTTCTGTCTTTTTTGTTGGGTGAAAGCTGAGGAACATAGAGAGAGGGAGAGCAAAATATTTCTCCCATTAAAAGTTTAATTTTCTTTTCCTGGTTTTAATA